AATTATCTATGTCCTACTATCTATTAAAATAAATGTTCTTCAAAGCTGCATTCAGAATTTGTTAATTACAATAAGGTTCATGTATCAAATTAACACAATTTTCCAAAATGTCAAAGCGATTTACATAGTTATTAAATATGTGGTTACCAGCCACATGTTATGCTCTGAATTTAATTGATTTTTAATGTTTCTTTGTTTGTTTTTTATACTACCTATTTCTCTTTTTATGTTGGAACTTAGATTTTCAGTGATTATTGGTGCAACGAATAAAGAGTAAGAACACAAACAGAAAATATACATCTTACTCTCACCTATACAAGATGACAAAAAAAAAAACATAATACACACTGCCTGCAGTGTGGTTTGGGGGAAATTATAAAATCCCTATGTAGATCTTCATCAAGAATATATACCACAGGGTCTGACTGAATAAAATTCAGTTATTTTTTTAATCCAAAGTTCACACTCCTGTTTTTTAGGGTCTAGTCTTTGTGACTTATACAGTAATGCTTTCATGTTTAGCTGGTACAACACCTGAGAGTTAAACTTAGCTATTGTAAAGATATTTGGAGATTTCCAATTTCGAGCAATTAGAGTTTTAACTGCACTCATAAAATGGATATATTTAAATGCATATTTTCTCTGTTGTTAATTTATATTTAGGTGAAGAATGGCATGCTCTGGGGCTTTAGGAATAGATTTGTTTAATAAAAAAATCTAATTCCACAAAACCACCTTCCACTTATTTTTAATTATATCACATTCCCACCAGATATGAGTAAAAGAACCAAGTTGTCTATTGTATCTCCAACCTAGTGGCAACGTAGATTTGTACATCTTAGCCAGTCTGCATGGGACCAAATACCATCTGTTCCATACTTTGAATAGAATTTCTGTTAGATTCAGACAGTGAACAAAATTACAGGTTTTAAAAAGAACTAAGCACCATTCCTTGTCAAATATTTTTTATTGAAAGGTTTTCATTTTTAACAATAATAAGTCATTGTAAAACAATTAAATATATGGAAGAATAAGATTACATATAAATTAAACAAACACAAAGAAAAATATACATCCATTAAAAAATTGATAACATATGATTTATGAAAAACACTACATAGTGTCAAATAAGATGTAAAAGCACTTCACATTTACTGGTGATAAATAGTGTACAAACAGTTGTGTATACAAACAAAACAAGAGTAAAAGGTGAAGCACATAAACTACAACCTAGCAAAAATGTTATCATGAAGAGTATTTTCACTTGACATTATCCTCCCATATGTTCAAGTGGTAAGTTAGTGATTCTGTTGTGTTTGATGGCGTTGAAGGAGTTTAAGCATGCGTGGGATAGGCATAAGGCTATCCTTACTATAAGATAAGCCTAGGGATTAATGAAAGTATTTAGAAAATTGGGCAGACTAGATGGGCCAAATGGTTCTTATCTGCCGTCACATTCTATGTTTCTATTCTGAGGTGCAACTCATAGCACTTATTCTCTATGGCCAATGTTAATATCTCTTTAATAGCCGGAATTACGTCAGACCTCCAATAACGTGGTATTACCATTGTGGTCGCTATCAAGACATGGCCTACCATTATCTTATCCATTTTGGTAAAGTTTTCAGCATATTACTTGAATAAACATAGTTCTGGAGTCAAAGTCACAACAGAAGGAGTAATATCCCTGATTATTGTATGTACATTCTTCCAAGATAATTAAACGTGGACAATGCCACCACATATGGGAATATGTGTCTGCTTGCCCACAGCCACACCAGCAGAGATTTATAGAATTGGGGTATATTTTCTGGAGCGAACAGAATTGAGGAAAGAGGGCAGCCCTGACATGTGCCTTTGTATTTTCAAAATGGGGTCTTATCTGAGCCAGGAAGTTGTATTAGTGCTTGAGGGTAAGGTTTGGATAATAGTGATAATAAAATCAGGAAAACCCCAATGTTGTAGTAAATAAAATAGATATGGCCAGGCGACCCTGTCAAATGCTTTCTCTGCATCTAGTGATAGGAAAAATGTATACATTAACAGTAACAATTATTTTAAGTATATTATTTGTTTTATATTGGCAGAGCTTCTTACTGGCCCCTCACTTTAGGTCCCACCCCTCTCATTAGTCTCGGCCCCCTTGCAATCAACACTGGGCAGCAGAGCTGAATGGTAAAAGTTGCAAGCTGACAAGCTGTGGACAATATGCCATGTTGCCCTCAAACAGTTCCTCAGCTTGTAATTTTTTTCCTTGCAGCTCTGGCACTCTGTGCCGATTGGAAGGAGATGGAGCCTAACAAGAGGAGTGAGACTAAGAGGTGGAGCCTAGCACTGCATACTCCACTAATCAGCCTCTAACCTGGGCACTGTGCACCGACCCAGGATCGGCTCTGTATATTGGCATTCATTAGGGAGGTTATCTTTCTGCTTGTTGCTAGACTGCAAGATTTGTTTCAGACATTACTGCCAATTATCTGCCAATTATCTGAATTTGGGTAGATTGGGTTATCTGCCAAAATTCCGGTCTCCGAGCTGCCAAATACCAGAATTTCAGGAGAACTGACCAGTGAAAGTTCAAACATGCATGGTTTGATTCTTGATTTTTGGGGCAAATAAGCATCTTAGTTTGCCATAATGCTATACGAACTCATGTGTGCTGGATCTCCTGTTCAATAAGAAAAAGCAAAAAAAGATGATTAATTGTTAGGACACAGCCTCTAAGTGTTGATTTTATTCACATATCATGTGCCAACTGAACAATAGAGGGAAAAATGGAGAGCAGTGAGGGGATTCTCGATCCACCCAGGAATATTATGAAAATCCCACCTGACCACAGGTGGGAGCAGGGGAACATAAGTATGTCTGCCCCTTCATTTTATAACATATCTCATCCACTGTCCACCCCAGATGTAGGCATAGGGAAGTTTTAAACCTCCCTTACTGTAATATGAGGGTCTAATTGACCACCACAGGATTTTTTATTTATTCATTTATTTTTACACTTTTTTTAACCCCTTAAGGACACACCTTCTAGAATAAAAGGGAATCATGATGGAATATTTCCGTTATGTGTCCTTAAGGGGTTAATGTCATTCTGGACAAAATCTGGTGTTTAGTGAAGAAACCTGTTAAACTTAGCGTGCAGCTGAATCTAGCTAGAAATCTTAGGTAGTACTGCCAGGGGCACTCAAAACAACTTTGAGTGTGAGGAAGAGAATTACATTTTTTATTGTTCCTAGTGTGAAACTAGCTTACCTATATACAGTTGTTCATTTTGTCTTATCTTGTTTGGTGCCTGTTCTAGTCTTGCATTGTTTCTAGTAACTGGATACTTATTTGCTGCAAAAGTCTCCCTATCCTGATCCTAGGAGGTCAGCATATTTTCTCCTAGTTCCTGGGATCCACAGAAGCTGCATCAGGGCCCTGGTACGTGGCCGCACAAACCCTGGTGCTCAACACCAGGGAGCGTGTGGTTACCATGCACCAGGCCCTGATTGTTCATTTCCACGAGGTTGACTCCTATCATCATCAGGCACACAGGGGTCCCGGTCTCCGTACAGCCACCCGTGACAAAGCTTACCTGTATGAATGTGCTTTATCAAGCCAAAAACAAAATTACTAATGTGGAAGAAAAATCATCAATGCCTTATTTGAAGGTAATTCAGATATGAGGATGTGGGGCATTGAAATAATCATCTCTCTTTATTATTAAAACAGACAAAAACATTAACTAAAATGATGGTTTCATGGGGTTTCAATAATTATATAGAGCCAAGAACAAGCATCCTTGCCCATGAAACAAGAAGGTGAAAAACACTTATCTTATTAGACAGTGGTGACAGCTTCCTCCAGGGACATCCCAGCAATATTCCCTCCAATATAGAATAGGTATGAACAAAAATGAGGATACAGCTCTGGATCTACAAACAAATATGAAACAAATAATAATGTAACACTGTATATTAGGGTACAAGTGCGCTGTGTTAGATATACCTCACAGGATGGATGGATAAATGACACCCAAGGGTGCCTCCCCTGATGTAGGTGGGGGTCGGAATCACTGCTTCTATTCACAGGAAAATGAAGTAGAACTCAGGATATGGAGTAGAAAAAAATTCCTTCCTTATTTAAAAAAGTATAAAAAAGCCACTTCACCAGGATACGTCGTAATTGTTCCCAATCAAATGATTTTCACACTCAAGCCACAGTGGTAAAAAATAAATTAATCGACAAGGGATATAACAAGAACCATCTAGAGAAGGAATTTAAAACGGTTTCAAGAACAAATAGGAGTCACCTATTAGATGACAAACCAAGGGAGTTGTAAATCTTGTAAAACATTAGGAAACAAAATAGGAAGTAAAAAAGATTTCATCACTACAGTAACTGGCAAAAAATATCGGATCAGGGACCATATTGGATGCCACATGGACCATGTGGTATATATACTTCAGTGTCCGTGTGGCAAACAATATGTGGGAAAAACGAAGAGGAAACTGAAAGTTAGATTCTTGGAACACCAAAATAATATACGCCGGAAGGATACTAAACACCGTTCCTATCCATTGTAACAACTGTCCCATGTTCAGCTGGCAGACTTTCATGTGTTTTGGTATTGAACACATTAAATCCCACTGGAGAGGTGGCAATAGGGAGGAAAGGTTAACACAGCGGGAGACCTTCTGGATCCATCAGTTGGGCACCCTTGAACCCGGAAGTCTCAACGCTGATATAGATATTATCTGCTTCCTTTAATGTAAATGTGACATAAAATAGACCAAAATAGTACATACACTGAATTTTATTTAAAAAATAACACCATTTGATATTTAAAATATTGAATATACCATTATTAAATCCAAATTCAAATGAGAAAGGTACTTTACTATTATCATATAATGAATTATATAATTGGGGTATAGATAAGTCTTTGTGTTTAAATTTGGCATTTTCATACCCAAAACAGAGATATGTATGTATGAATCCAGGGGGGGGGGAAACTTAGAGATTCCTGGAAACTTTTATATGGAAGTGGCTATCATCCAACATATAATGTGACCAAAATCTGTATGGTGCCTTTAAATCAGAATAAGTAAAGAATAAGTTATTATATTTGAGTATATTTAACCCTTCCATATTTAAACACAGATGCAAGGAAAGTGGATCTCTTTGTTTGTCCCTTGTATAACTTTTTGAATTTTTGTGTTTAGAAATCATTGCTCTGATTTTGTATTAATTCATAATTGTTACTTCTTCCTTTGTTTGAGCCCTTAGGGCTACCATCAATAACCTATGCATTGCATTGAGCTACAGGTGGAACGCATACTTCCTTACAGTGGAACGCAAACGCCCACAGATGCTATTGGAACAAATCGCCGGACCGGAAGTGACATCACGACAAAGTTTGCCCCCAGTTATGCCAACTTGTTCATGGCCTTTTGGGAAGACTTTTTTGTCTATAATGGCCATGACTGGGGGGAGAACTTAGTCTTCTATGGCCGTTATATTGACGATATTATATTAATATGGAAGGGCGAAGAAAGAGAGTTAACAGAGTTTTTAAAGTTTTTGAATAATAACGATTGGGGTATTAGACTAACAAGTACATGCAGTAAGGATACAGTTACATTTTTAGATTTAGATATTTTTATTGAAGAAGGCAAAATTAAAAATTAAAATAATTTTAAAAAGGTTGACTGTAACAGTTTTATTGAAAAAATCAACTGCCACCATTCTCCGTGGTTGGAAAATGCCCCTAAGGGGCAATTTCTCAGAATTCGGAGGAACTGCAGTGATGTGGCAAATTACGAGGATCAATCACTACGTATTAAGATGGATTTTCTGACTAAGGGGTATGATGCATCCAAACTTGAAAGTTCCAGATTAGAGATAAGGGGTAGAGAAAAAAAGGAGCTATTAACCTATAAAGTAAGAAGTGATAAGGAGGCACAGGATATTCCATTAATTTGCAATTACAATACAAGTAATTACCAAATACGCAAAATTATAAACAGATACTGGCTTACTCCAGGACCCAACTCTAAAACAGATTCTCCCAACAAAACCAAGAATGATATATAGAGGAGCAAGAAACCTCAAAAGTACATTAGTGAGAAGTTTTTTTAAGGAAAAGAATCATCCTTCTACACTATTTAAGGATGAAAAAGGCTTCTATGGATGCGGGCAGTGTACAGCATGTAAAAAGTCAGGTTGCACTAGTAGGATAGTGAAAAATATAACAACGAATAAGGATGTTACAATTCTGATTAAACAATTTATGACTTGTTACACGAAAAATCTGGTTTATCTTTTGGTATGTCCGTGTGGACTTAAGTATGTGGGGAGAACGACGAGGCCTTTACATACGAGAATTAGGGAACATATATGTAAAATCCAAACAGGATTTGAACAATGTAGTGTTTCATACCACTTTAAGAAATTTCATAATCAGAAGCCAGAAGGTCTAACATTTATGGGGATTAAGAAGTTAAATAGAGAGGGAGTGATTTTATCATAGAGTTAGGAAGATCCAAAATGGAGTGGATTTATAGACTCAATACCTTGACCCCTTACGGTCTAAACTCAGATTTTGAGTTATGCCATTTTTTATAATCAATTTTGGTATTTTTTTTTTCTCCTTCCAATATGGGAATTTTCAATAAGTAAGAGTATGTTGTAGTACACAATATTTTGTATTTAATACATCAAGCAGGAGAGTTTAACTTAATATAGTATTGATCTGGTTATGTGAAGGGATCTTTTGATACACTATGTATTAACTACATTAACCATGTATGGACTGAAAGATAGAGGGGACAGTATATATATTAGTAAACTCCCCCCCCCCCTTCTTTTCTAGACTTTTATAAGTTTTTAAAAGTTTTTTTTTATTTTTATGTTTTTATGCATTTATGGTATTTCATGGACTATGGAGATTAATGAATTATTACGACATACATGGAATTGGACTGTATCTTTTATTATAAGAAGAATCTTGAAACAGACTTCTCCTTCCCCCTCCTTATTTTTTGCACGAGAATGTATGCGGAGAAGAAGGAGACTGCAAGAATACAGAAGATAAGTGGGAATACAATTTACATATTGGAACTATTTGAAATGACTTTCAGAAAGTAACGTACTGCAATGTAATATAGAGAAGTAATATCTGCCGCTCGTGTGCGCGAGCGGAGTGAGAGAGAGGCTTGGACCGCACACGCTCTGCACAAACTTAAGGCACTATTAAGGCACAAATAAGGCACTATTTATACAGCATCTAGGGAACAGGCAACATTGTATCAATTCATCCTGTTGAATAAGCCACAGTGTAGTGGCGAAACGCGTTCTGGTTTTAGGCATATTGATGCCCTTTGTTTTATAATTTATTATAATAAATTTAGTTTTTATTCCTTGATCCTGATCCCTGGATTCATTTATTTCTCTGGTATCTTATGGATGAGAGTGCAGTCCCATACAGCACAATACCCAAAAATTGAGTCATATTACTTGACTCCGGGCTTGTAAGTACCCATTTGGGAATCTTCATTATTTAATAAGATAGCCCAAAATAGTACTGCGCAATTGTTTCTGCTTTGACCCTCTCCTTAGGACAAGATTTCCAACATTCAAAAAAAGGGGAGGATCGCCTAAACGGATCCAAAAGCGATGCAAACTAGAGCTGAGTCTATAGCTCCCTGTTTGTGAGTTTATCCATATATTCCTACGCTAAATATTATCTTGTGACATACCATCTACACTATATTTGATTATTCTCTTTCTAGGCATTTATGTGTTGATTTTCCATACATTCCTCTGAGCCTGCTAAAAAGCGACAATTTATTCTCATAAGCGCTACATTCTTCTTTTATTCAGGTACATCACGGCAATTGCCAAAAACCGGAAGTGACATCACAGAAGCAAGAGAGCCTGGGAAAGCTGATTATATACAGGTGTATGAAGAAACTGACGTCTTGGGAAGCACCAATAAGAAGAATCCATCACCAGTATAAAAGAAAGGACTCGGGGGGCGGGGGGGGGATTTTACTGCTTATTATTTTTTATTCTATATTCTGTACTTGTTTTACTGCTGTTACACACTCGAATACCAGGAGGTCCCTGAGTAAGTCCATTTCGACGAAACGCGTAGGACCTGGTACCATAACAGCCTATATATACACATATATTTATTTTATACTTTTTAAATAAAGAAGGAATTTTCTACTCCATATCCTGAGTTCAACTTTTCCTGTGAATAGAAGCAGTGATTCCGCCCCCCACCTACATCAGGGGAGGCACTCTTGGGCGTCATTTATCCATCCATCCTGTGAGTTATATCTAACACAGTGCACTTGTACCCTAAAATACAATGTTACACTATTATTTGTTTCATATTTGTATGTAGATCCACAGCTGTATCCTCATTTTTGTACATACCTGGTCTCAATAATTAGTAATACCAGCAGAGGCCCAGTAAATGGTTTCTTCCTCTTTGTCCACCCCTTCAATTGCATGGAATAGATCAGTAGGCATTTTTTTTTTTATAGGGTCAGCAGATAACCAGCTTCCTTGCCCCTTAGATATTACCCTGTTTAACACCAAAGAAGCAAGGATATACGCAATCTCCTGTCCCCTATTGTCACTAGAGATTAATGCATTAAAGGGATTAACTTCTTTTTGACTTAATCTATTTTTGGATAACTCCTTCAATTGTGAAGGGGCCAGGAAATCCCAGTATCCTGTCCTCACACAGGCTTAATAAAAAAAAAAAAAAAAAACTATCCTCTAAACTACAAAAATAACAATTTCTAGTGGCTCGGCTCCCTTAGCCTGTAGCACACCATTATATGATCCTACCTATACTCCAGTTTAATAGGAATATCTGCTTATTTTTTGCACTTATTCCACAACTAGGTAAAATAAGTTCTATAGCATTTTGCAATTAAAGTAAAAAAAATTCTGATTCCCAAAGATTTTTATCAAATAAAAAAAAAAATACTGTTTCGTATTTTGTCTTGTATATATTTAAATATATATATATTTTAATATAAATTATACATATTTATCTTACACTTTTGTTTAATTTTTATTTAAAAAACAAACAGTTTATTTCCTCTCCCCCTGTTTACCTTGTGGCAGAGGAGGAGGACATAATGTGATGGTTCAGGGTGGAGAGTGTCTGCTCTCACCCTGATGTAATTACTCTCACAAAATCTTATCTCATAGTATCAGTGTGTTGCTGTAGTAACCTTCAACAATGGTCTAAATTGCTTGGAGCTCATGGGAGCCATTGTAAGAGGTCTGCAACTGGAGGGTAGGCATTGTGCATAGGCCAGAGTCCCAGGCCAGCTCCTGGTCTTGGGACTAATAATAACAAAAGGGAATTCTGAGAGTGTGTGTGTTTCTGGAGACTTACCTAGGTAAGCCTCCACCTCCTGATGTCCCTATTTCATTAAACTAATTGTTTGTTGAATTAGCAGAAATGGTCTAAACACTGCATATGTACTGCAATATGAATGCTATATTGTTAAAAATGTAATTCTCCCTTTTGTTATCTTTTTTTACTTTGATTGCAAAAGTAGACCTTTTGTGTAGAAATCATGTGTTTTTTTTTTTTTAAATATTGACAGTCTAACAAACTGGATTTTTTTATCATTCGATTGTTGGAAAGTTCTGTAAATTGTGACTTGCAAATTATTGATTTAAATGTCATATATATATATATATATATGTATAATACCCTAGTTCCACAGTTATCATTCATTTAAATGACCAAAAAAAAAAAAAAACACATACATTTAAAATGTAGTTCACATCATGTAATCCTTTTTCATAATCTACTTTTCAGTGGCTTTTTAGAAAAAATGATGTTCACGTCTTCCGTTTCAATATGCGCTCTAATTCACAAATGAATTCAGCAACGTTGTTTCAGTACAGTATGTGCTCTAATTCACAAATGAATTCAGTCTTCAAAATGGTTTAAAGTTTACATTATAAAATCTTTAATCATTTATACTAGTATTTAACTTAGTTTTCATTAAAATATAACTTAGAAAAGTAAAATGTAAAATGTAAATTATATCTTTAGTGAATTAAAACAATTCTGTAGAGACATTTTTCTTAAAGGACCACTCTAGGCACCCAGACCACTTCAGCTTAATGAAGTGGTCTGGGTGCCTGGTCCAGCTAGGGTTAACCCATTTTTTCCATAAACATAGAAGTTTCAGAG